AATACAAAGCTTATATGTAACAGAAGATTAAAATGGAATAAATGCACAAATGGGAAGTACTTGGTGAGTATGCACCATCAAGTGGCTACTATCCTGAGTATCTATGGAACCAAAAAGACTCAATAAAATTGAAATAAATAAAGCAGAAAATTAATCCAACTAAAAACAGACAAAAAAGGCATTCTCAAAAGATGTACAAATGAGTAACTGATAAGTAAAATATGTCCATCACTGATCATCAGGGAAATGAAAATCAAAACTAAAAGAGATACCATGTCATTCCACCACGGCACATAGAAACACAGTTGTACAGTTACAAGATTTCCTCCTTTTGAACCCTTTTGCACTGTTGGTGGAATTGTAAACTAGTAAAACCCCTTTGAACAACAATCTGGAGGGTCCTCAATAAACTAAACATAAGATATTCACTATGACCAAGCCATACTACTCCTGAGCAGCTACACAGAATGCCTCAAGCTAGGATACCATGAGGACACTTCCACATCCATGTTCATTGTCACAGTAACCAAGTTGAAGAAACAGCCAAATGCCCTGCAATAGATGTGTATTTCCAAAAACAAGTGTGGTACCTATACACAATGGAATTTTTAAACAGCCATTAGATATAATAATAGTATGTCATTGCAGAGAAATAGATGGAACAAGAGCAAAATATGTTAAGTGAGGTAAGCCAAGCTCAGAGAGACAAATGGTGCATGTTGTCTCTCATATGCAAAAAATCAGATCTGAAATACACTGGGATATGACAAATTTTATAGGACTCTAGACACATACATTGAGACCAAAAGAGGATACTTTTAAGGAAAAAAAAACACAAAAATACAATGCTTATATGTATGTGTGTGTGTGTGTTTGTGTGTGTGTGTGTGTGTGAGAGAGAGAGAGAGAAAGAGAGAGAGAGAGGCAGCAAAATGAACTCCAAGCTATAGACTATGGAAACAGGTTTCTTTTTGTGTTGCTTCTGTTTTCTTTTATTTCAATATGGTTTATTAGTGTGTGTATCTTTGGGAGGATGGGGGGAACAAAACTCAAAGGGAAAACGGCAAAAAGTGTAGCAGTGTGTTGAAAGTGAGCTATACCACACTTGCATGAGACAAGAGAGAAGGATTAAGAATGAGGAAAGGGATGACACTGTACAAAAGGAAAAGTACTCATTACATGACTTACATAACTGTAATCCCTCTGTTCATTACCTTTATAATAACAATAAACTAAATAAAAAACAGATTTCCTCACACAGAGGATTGCCACACACAGAGCTTCCTTTAACCTAATATAAGGCCAGGTTTTCAAAGAATGTTAAGTGTTACTTTTTTTTTTTTTTTTGGTCAGTCATGGGGGTTGAACTCTGGGCCTGGTCACTGTTCCTGCATTCTTCAGCTCAAGATGAGTATTCTACCACTTGAGCCACAGCTGCATTTCCAGTTTCTAATGGTTCATTAGACTTAAGAGTCTCATGGACTTTTCTGCCTGGGCTAGCAGATCCTCAGATCTCAGCCTCCTGAGTAGCTAGGATTACAGGGGTGAGCCACCAGTGCCCAGCTAAGTGTTATTTTATAAATTACTGAAATCTCTACTACCTTGTACTTAAGTGCCACTACCATGATTATCATCATATATTAATGTCCTAAATGCTTTCCATAATTATCACATTTACAAATGAAGAAGCTGTAGTTTCTATGGAACCACAATAACTTTCTCTAAGACACATAATTCATAGTGTCCAAAATTCAAACTCAAAGACTTGAGTCTGATTACAAAGCTTATGAAGTTAATCATTCTTCTATATTGTCACACACCACATAACCTAGACTGGCAGACTTTTCACTGGACAGAAAATTCAGATTTATTTTTTGCTTAAAAGAAAGAAAAAGTAGATGGATAAGTAAACTCAATTGTTTTCTTCAATGAGATGCTGCTGCTCTAATCTGACTGCTGCTTCAGAAGCAGTAAACACTGCTTCTCTGAAAGACATTTTACAAGGTTGTGAGATAGGAGTCTTCCTATTACCAGTATTACATTCATCAAAGAAAGAGATCTCTGGCCCTAGTCTTGTTTTCATTCACTTCCATTTTTCTGTAACCTGCTTAACTTTGGCTTCAGAATGGCACTTTCTCTTTTAAGTTTATTTTGGTCACTTGCTTATAAATTGTTTTCATAGTAATTTATTTTACAATACTACAGTATTATATAAAATTATGTTAATATGAAACACTATATTAGAATAACTTTATTAAAATTTTGAAAAAAGAGTAGAATTCCTGCAATGAAACTTTTTTGCTCAACAAAATCATAAAACATTTATTGTCTGTTTATTAGATAAAATCTTTGCCAATCTTTAACTAGGCTATCAGTAGATGTGTAGCATTATTATTTGCTTCCTTACTAGGCTGGAATGATACAAAACACATATGTTGTGTTTTGTGATGAGCCTTTATTTGGGGTAGCATAAACTTTATAGATTAAATCACTGTAAGTTTTCACCTTAGTATAATTGATAAGGTTGTAAGCCCTTAATATCATTGAGTTTTATTTGGGATCATGTAAAGTGCAAAAGTATTCTTGTTCAAATTCCAAGCAGTGATTCAGGTGACCACATTCTTTCCATCTAGTGGCTAGTGGTCTTTATTTTACATGGTGTTAAAGTACAGGAAAGATCTTGATATAGTACATGGGACATACCTGGAAGAGCTATGTGGCTTTTATCCAAATCTTATTAGTTACAATTCAAACATCTGATTAGAATTATTGTAAGATAGGCTGGGAAACAAAGGCACATCAAGATTTGAAAAGGAAAATGGAATTGGCAAAATTCCATGGGTAGAACTAGCCAGTCTCTATTTTAAAGACTTTCTGCTGATAGAATAAATAGGTAGGATGTCATGTTATAATGACTTAAATACAGGTTTTTAATAATTAATATTAGGAACCATGTAAAAGATTGCTATCTATTATTTTCAGAGAGTTTAGAAAGAGAAGTCAGATGTAGAAATGTAGGAGAATTAAAACTTGCAAATGCATTCCATTTTAATGTACAATTAAAAATATTGTAGACTTTCAAAGTAGAGATGTCTAGATGCCTTTTAGAAATTTTAGGAGATATACTGGGGCTATATACAAGTTTTGGGTGTTTCAACAAATAAACAGTAGCAGTCAATGTCATGAGATTGATTTATGTAAGAGCTATAGCAAAAAAAAAGGTAAGGTGTGTGTGTGACATATCTTCCTAAATACAAGGTAATAGAGAAAATGGGATTAGTAAAATATTCTCTACCTCCAAGAAGCTCATAGTTTGGTAGGAATAGAAAACAGTTGATTAGATGTTGCATGATAGAAGCTGTAAAGTTATAGTATAATGAAGGAAAGACAATAAATATTTAGTTAATATGTAGACAAACCCTCCTATTACAGAAAGAAGTACCCAAATTTACCATTATTAAATGTTTCCTTTGCATTTGTAGAAAATAATGTGCTGATTTATTTAGGATTTTTTCTCACCTTAGTATCATAATGTCACTATCTGACATAGATATATTTTTTCCATTAAATTCCTAACATATATGCATTGTTTTCCATAGCAAGGTACTGGCATAAGAGAGATTGGCTAACTTGTTATGGAAACTTATATATCTACACAATGCCATCACCTTTTGTTTCTTTCCAGGTAATTAGAAATATCAGTAAAATGTGCTCATTAGTTATCTTGTAATGAACAGAAAAATGTACATCGCTGCCATAGATTTGAATAAATAGTTATTAATTTAAAGAAAAATGACAAAATACTACCAGCATCCGAGAACAGTCCAATATAGAAACACAAATGGATAATCACTATTGTAAAACACTTAATTGCTGCCAATTTATAAGACTGATAACATTTCAGAATTTATAAAGAAACACAATTTTCAAAGTGTCTATATATAACTGATGAGTAATAAGGCTACTCATTAGGCAGAATTAAACTGTATTGTCACAATATAGTAATACTTTTATCCATCTAAATATATGAAAACTCAACTGGAAATTTGTGTAGATGTTACAAAAATGTTCTGAGGGGGCAGTGGTTCTGGGGTTTAAACTCAGTGACTTGAATTTACTTCAGTTTTCTTTCTCAGCTGGTGTTCTTTCATATGAACCATGCCTGTAGCCTGGCTCATTATTATTATTGTTATTGTTGTTGTTGCTGTTGTTATTTGGGAGATTAAGTCTCATGAATTTTTCTGCCTGGGCTGTTTGTGAAACATGATTCTCTGGATCACAGTGTCCTAAATACCAATACCTGGCTTATAGAAGATTTTTATACATTAAAAAAAAATTCAACCACTTAGTATTAAGTAGTTTAAATAGAATTAAAGTTAATATATACCATTTCTTTGTGCTATATGCTTTCCTTTATCAGAGGTATATCATTATACATATTTTCTTTTGTTTCCCCATTTCTCTTTTCCATGCTACCACATATCTGCAAGCTGTCAAACACACACACACACACACACACACACACACACACACAAAACTAAAAAACAAACAAAAAAAACTTCAAAGTTGCCCAGATATATACAAATGCCTAATTTATTGTTTTTCTTCTTTTCTTGTTTCCTTTTGGGGTCGTACTTGTTCTAGAGCTTGATCTTACAGCCTGGGTACTGTCCATGAGCTTTTTTGCTAAAGGCCAATGCTCTATAATTTGAGCCACAGAACCACTTCTGGATTTTTAGTGGTTAACTGGAGATAAGTTTCATGGATTTTTCTGCCCAGGCTGGCTTTGAACCACAATCCCCAGATCTCAACTTCCTGAGTAGCTAGGATTACATTGTGAGCCACTGGTATGTCCAGCCTGATTGACTTTAAATATAACTTTTATTTTGAAATTTCATGTGCATGAATAATTGATACATGGAGAAAACTTTTGAGAAAAATATCTGAAATTATTTTAATCAAATCAGTAGGAAATGTAATTAAATATCAAAAAGCAGGTGACAAAAATAATAAGTGTACTATACAGTATCTTAATAAAACTTTATAGTAAGTGTAGAAATTATTATGCTAACATTTCCAGAATAAGTAAATATGACATAAATGTTACCATACATAGATAATCTGAAAAAATGTATAAATAGTTCCTTGATAATAGTTCTTACATTAAATGATACATTTTAATTCTTCCTTGACTATATATATATATATATATATATATATATATACACATACACACATATATGTTTAAGGAACCTTTTGTGCATGCAGATTTGACTGGAATTAAGCTAAATTGTGACCAATACACAAAACTTTAAAATTATTCTTATACTTTAGAAGATATTTATACAAATGCAACTTGAAATATAGATTATTCTTTTCAGATTATTACTTCTAAGTCCTTCATATGAAATGAACGACTACAATTTAAAATGATCATACATGTGATCTACTATCGAATCACATTACTGATCCACTGAGGCCTGTTGAGTTGACATGTATTTCATAACTTCAGCCTTTCTTTTGGCATCTTGAAGACCTACACAGGATTTTTCAAATTTTATCATATCAAACACAAACTTTTCTTCACAATGTCTTTTATGTATTTCTTTAGCCCTTTGGAAAAATAAGAGAAATAATCAAATCATATATATTTATGTTACTAAAACCACAGCAAACATTTGTTACCACTCATAATTATATGTCTTTAAAGATGGGGTAAAAGTAAACAGATGGGGAAAAGTCAGAGCTCATTTAAAGAACTTAAACTATGAATCTACATAAACTATTGCCTAGATCCTCAAAAAAGCATGTGATAATGCCCAAGGAAATAAATATAAAGAATTAAGAATGACAATGATTAAAATACATTAAACTTATAAACTGTGATGAACAGAGATCCCTTTGCAAACTACTAAAAGATAATGCTTTTTAAAAAATAAAGATTACAGAGAATACAGCTATTCTTTTGGAGTTTAAACCAGATTTAAACTTAAGTTTTATGATTTTAGACAAGATATTCAAGCTCTCTGCACATTTTTTTTTCAGTGTAGAGAAGAGAACAAATTCAACTTATAGGATGTAGAAGGAAGTTAATGAACTAGGCTTTGAAAATAATCGAGTTCACTAGAGCCTTAGTAGCATGTCAACGGCTTTGGGTACAATCCTCAGCAGTAGACAAAATAAAATAAAAACAAATACAAAATAAAAATGTGAAGCAAATGAACCAATACACTTGAAATCCATTGAGAAAACACTGCCAGTTAATTTTCATTCAAGGAAATTTAATTATGACTATTATGAGTCCTGGAGCTCAAGAGAGCTTTCAAGTCTAGAGTTCATATCTGTATATGTAGTAAAGAAGAATCACTGAAAAACTACTTGTATTAAAGGTATATGTTCATTCTAAAATGTATATTGAAACAACCCTCCTAAAAATATAAACTGTAGATAAATTTGAATGTAATTGCCTAAAAAATGAAAAATGAGAAATACATATATATATGTATATATACCTACACATACATGTCATTATCAAATAATTGGAAAATGAAATAAAAAATTCCACTTAGAATATGAATAGGATATCATACAATATTTATGTCTAAGTTTAATAAAGTGAATGCAAGGTCTATATCTCCAAATTTAAAAATGTTATTGAAATAGGTCCTAAATTAATACAAGATCTTTTTTACCATGTTCAAGAATTATACAACAAGATTACTAATCTCTCCCCTTTTCATAAAAAAATATATGTACTTATACATAAATATATAAAACAGATAAGAACATTTTAGTATGAATTCACATTTAAATTTATTTTAAATATATCTAATTTAGAACTTTTTGAATGCATTATATTTCCATGTTTCTAATTTATTAAAATATATTAAGCTTGAAATTTATTTGCAAAGGACCCAGCAGACGCAAAACAGCCTTGCAAAAAAGGAAAACAAAGCTAGAATCTTTTTCTCTCCTGTATAACAAATTTCCATAGTTTTTGCTTACAAGAACCTCCTATTATTTCATGGCTTTTAAGATTTAGAAGTGAGCACAGTGTGGTTCAGTTGGTTTTCTTGTGTAGGTTCCATAAACATATTATCTAGGGTTATGGATTTCCTTCAGGTTTTGGTGTCTTCTTCCAGGATTATTCTGGTTTTTGTAAGAATTTTGTTCTAATGCATTTTTGTGCTGCCCTTCTATTTTACAAATATGCAATGCCAAGTCAAATCCAACTCATACTTAGAATCTCTCTCTCTTGCTTCTGTACTTAAAGGCTAATGTAATTACATCCAACCCAGAATAATTTCTCTACTTTAATGTAGATTAATTAATATTCTTAATTCCATGTACAGAGACCCGACAACAGCAATGTCACAGGTATGGAAATCTACATTTCTGAGTATGAGAGCATTGTATTCATTTTTTGTGTACCATTATTCTAAATATAAAGTTTGTACAACCTTAGGAAAGGGATGATTCACTTTGAACATGAAAATGGGAAACTAATCTTAAAACACTAAAAGAAAAAGTTAGGATTAATTCACAACGACTAAAATTCTTCAGATGTTGACATAGTAAGTTGAATAAATTCAATACTGAGGGTTTACCATTTCTTTGGGACAAAAAGACAAAGTGGGTTATTAAAAAAGAGAGGCCAGAATGGTGCTTGGTTTGGAAGCTTTGCAGTTGTTTTGAAATTGCTCTTGCAGTTAATGAGTGAAAGAAGATGCAATTGTGAGAGCAGATAAAATTGGAGGTCATAAGATTCACAGTGTTCTGAATCTGTAGGCCAGGCATCTTTCAAGTATTTCAACATGAATACAAGAAATGAAGGTAGATAATTTGATTATTTCAAAGTAGGAATTGATAGTGAAGCATTTTCAAGCATTGTCGGGATAATGAAAGGAAAAGACTCTTGAAACATTGCATGTAAAGAACTAAGAACATTCGAAGAACTGGAGTCCACAATGGATATAACTTACAGGTATATAATTGAAGTTTTTCAGAAATGAATGTCATCTCATGTATTTGAAGTGTGTGGTGAAAGTAAAGCAAGAAAAGAGCTGAAAAAATATTTTAGCCAAGACAAGAGCTGACAATTTTGTAGGTGAGACAATTCCAAGTGATAAGATCTTTATGTGTCTAGGCAATGAGTTAATGCATATTAAATAGGCAATGATTGTTTGGAATTCAAACATATTCATGCTAGCTAATTGAAAGCATAACTCTTATCAATTTATAATTTATCATAATTATCACAAGGTTGGAGAAAAGTTTTATAAATCAGTAAATGGAAATCACAGGGAATATAAATGGAAACGTGAGAGGTCAGTTGGTAACCAAATAAGAACAAAAAGAAAATAACTGAATAGCTATCTTAATTTCTCAATCTTTTATACTTACTTAAAACACCACTGTTTTGCCCAGAATGGTATCAACACTTTCTCATATTGTCAATATCTTGGAAAATACCATGATTATCTTTTATATGACATCTAGACTCAGACATCTCATATTCTGTTCAATTCATATTTTAATATTCCTGTGGATATTTTATCAATGTCCTAAGTGAAGAGTTTCCTGCCATCCTACTCTGCTCTTTTGTTCTCTTCTTTCCACATGGTAGGATTAGAGAGCTGAATTTTCAGTAATGACTTCACTAATTACTGGACTTCATTAGAGTCACCAAGTGGACAGATTAATAAGGAATCATCAACATAAAATGTATCATAATCAAAATTTTTTTGAAGGATGTAGATAAGACTTTATTTTTGAGTTAGTTTCTTTCTATTTATTAATATTTAATCTTTAAAACATGTAGAGTAAAAAATCAGTGCTGCAGTACCTTTTGAGACAGGCATATTACACATAACCAACACATTGCTTTAATCCTTTGCTTGCAAGGATAAAGCCTTTTCAGCAATTTATAAGAGAAGTCAACTCAGTTATGATATACTGGGAAGCCCATTTGACTATTATCCTCTACAAATTAGTAATATGGCTAGATGCTCAAATAAGTGTGATAAAAACTAAGCTAATTAAATCTCTCCAATGTTCACTAGACTGTGCACTAGACTGCATTCGATATATCAAACAGTTGATATTCATGGGCTTTCCTAAAATACAATTTTTAATAAAATCAAATTATAAAAAATATTTGAAAAATAAGATATATTTGTATAAAGCATTCTAAGGAAAATATTTTAAATTCAGCAAAGGAAAAAGATTCTAAACATTTTTTACATATATATTGTATAAATAACACATAAACAGCTTAAAATATTAACAACAAGGAGAAGGCAAATATATTATTCAAAACTCTTATAACAAGCTATTTTATTTAAAATTTATAAGAACTTGAACACTATAAAAGTCTATATTCTTACATATGCCATATGTGTGTAATATGCACATACATATATGCAGACATATACATATCTGTATATATATTCATAGCTTAGGTATTAAAAATATTTCTGGGATAAGGTTGTGGCTTTATAAGCTTTAAAATATTAATATATCAGGAAATACTATTGAAAAGCATGTGAACTAAGCATTATACTGGGCCCTAAAAAAGAAAATGGAACATATTATTTCATAAACACTTTACAATATATTGTATGTGCTCTCATAAAAACTACTATAATTGAGATTTAAATAAAGTGTTATGGAATCACAGTAAAGAATGAAAGGGACTAAATTTTAGCTGGGTGGAAATTAGAAGTAAAAATGCCATTTTTGTTGACTTCTATAGGATTAGAAAAGCCGCAGTTACTCCTATGTACCAACTTGGGTAAAGACTGGAGAATAATTTAGCATATCTATAGCAAAGACTGTGCTTAGGTATGAGAAGATGACAGAAAGTACAATAGGAAATATAGTATCATATACTCTAGATAAAACACATTGCTTGAAATCCCATTCAGAGATTACATTTCTTTCTTTGAGGGATTGCAAACTATCAATGTACTTACTGGCAATGGCATGATGAGTGATTTGTTTTATTTATTTACAGGTTATTTATTTATTTACAGGTTAGCAAATGGGAAAGAGTTTAGAAAGGATGGAGAGCAGAGGTGGATATGTCAATGGAAGGATAATATGAATTCTTAGAATCATTATGAATATTGGAATTAGAAAAGGAGAGGTAGAATTTTTAAAGGATTTATTTGAAACTCCTTTAATATAAGATGGATATGAAACATATTGGATATGCCACTGATAAAACTCAGTTGTGAAAGGGATATTTCTAGCACTAATCAAGAGGAAATGACAATTTTACTTTTTACAATAACAACTATATGTGAGTAGGCTTTGTTAGTATGTTTGAGAGGTGGAGAATTGTTTTTTGTTCAGACTTTGGTAATGATACATTACTACACAATTATCCTCTTTGTCAGTTTCCAGTTTCCAATGTATAGTTTGCCATACTATAAACAAAAACTCAACATTTCATGTGTAATATTTACATTGAAATAACTTTTAAACTTTTGTTATATTTAAATTGTACTTACCTAAGTTCCTTCATTTGCTTAAGCAAATGCCTTTGATGTTTTTCTTCTTTATGTTGTTCCTGAGTAGAGTGGTATTTCTGTTTTAAGATCGCATCATTCCTCTTCATTCTATCTACTTTATCCATTCTTTTGGACATAAGAATGCGCTCATTACTTATGTTTTGGACCAGGATACGATCGTGAATCTTTAGGTTTTTCTCTTTGAGAAACTGAAATCCTCTATGTCTAGCTTTTTTAAGGCAATGGAGTCTGTCCTGATAACATTGCTTTAGGCATTTTTGAACTGTCTCATTGTCTCTTATGAATCGCTTTTGTGTAGTATATCTTTTATTATTTAATTTTTCATGAATATTCATGTTACGTGTTCTTTGGGCAACTTGTGCCATGGCTGTTGCTGTTATTTTTTCTTTATGTTGCTCTTCCTTCTTTTGTGTGATGAAGTACTGATCTATATCATTAAATATTTGGAATTTTACACTAGTACTCTGTGTTATATTTTTCACTGAGAGTGGGTCTTTTTTAATTATTGGTTCTGCATGTGAGGTGGAAAATAGTTCAGCATATGTGGGAAAATAAGCTTGTCTTTCCTTTTTCAATAATGTAACATACTTCAATTCATCTGAAGTATATATGGGTAGTTTAAAGGTTGATAGCTGAAAACTGTCATCCAATCGTCCATTCTTAGTTTCACCTCCAAACTCCTTCTGACCTATATCATACAGCAAATAAACATGGAAGATCAAAGTTTATTTTCTGTCTTTTCATGATCTACTTTCTAAGTAACTCACAATGTATTTGGCCTTATTCAGCAGAAACACACACACATATAAACACATACACATACACAAATACATAGACACCCAGTCTCATCCCCCACTGAGGAAAGAAGCATTGGAATGGATCTTTTCTTTTCTGCCAGCCCTGGAGCTTTCTCAGTTTACATTTTATATGTTTAAGATATATATCTTATATATACATATATGTATATTATATGTATATATTTTAATGTTTTAAACAATACTACATGTAAGAAAGATAATAGTATTTCTCATTCTGTTTCTGGATAATTAATACCTTCCAGAGTCATCTATATCATCACAAAAAAGCAGGATAACTGTCTTCCTTAAATCTGAATAGTAATTGAGTGAGGAAAAAAAGATATTTTCTGTCTGCATATGTGTTAGACAGTTTGCTTTATGTGGTCCTTCATTGGCAGACACTTGGGTTCTTTCTATACCTTAGCTATTGTGAATAACGGAGCAATAAGTACGGTATAGCAGATTTCTCTATATGATACTGATTTATGACCTTCAAGTTTATACCTAGACAAGGAATTATTTAGTCATATGATGATAATTTTTTAATCTTGTGGAACCACCAGGTTGTTTCATTAAATTGCTGTACGAATTTACATTGCCATTGTGCTCCTGGGGCAGCACATACATAATTCACATTCCCACAAGAGTTGTTTCCTTCAGATCCTAATCTACCCTTGTTGTCCCTAGTCGTCATAATAACCATCCTAACACATGCGAGTAATGTCTCATTATAGCTTTAATTTTTAACTATTTGGCAATTATTTATGTTTAATTTAATTTCATAAGCCTGTTGGCCATGCACACACTTCCTTGGGAAAAACTTTGATTCAGGTCCTTTGCTTACTTTTTGGTTCCGTTACTTGATTTTCTACCAGAATTGTTACGAGTTCTTTATATATTTCACAACTCTATCTATAATAGATAGAGAGATAGATAGATAGATAGATAGATATGGATATATATATATTTTGTTCTATATGTGTTTTACAAATAATTGATCGTATTCCTTATATTGTCTTTTAACTTGATTATTTCCTTTGCCATGTAGGTAATTTTGTGTTTGAAATATTCACTTGTTTATTTTGCTTTTGTTTCCTGTTTTCTTTTAGTAATAAATAAAAAAATCCTGTTGGTAAGAGTGATGTCAAAGAGCTGTTCCTACATTCTCAGGAGTTTCATGGTTTCAAGACTTAATGTTTAAATCTCCAAACATTTTTTGATTGATCTTTATGCATCATGTGAATTAGGAGTCTTGTTTTTGTTTCTATTTTTGGCCTGGGAATATCCAGTTATCCCAATATCACTTTCCAAGAAGGCTGCTCTTCTCCAGTGTATATGTTATGGGAGGTACATTTTCATTAATTAATGTTATATAGGTGGTTTATTGATAGGTTCTCTGTTTTGTGCTATTGATTTCTTTTTCTTTTACCTTCTTGGCAGGGGTGTGTGGGGGGAGAGGCACTACTACGTTTTAAACTCAAGGCCTTGTTTTCTAGGAAGTGCTCTGCCTACTAGTAAGCCACCTCCATCACCCACTGGTTTCTTTCTGTTTTATGTCCATAAATTTAAAAAAAATGAATGAGGTACTTTTAGACAGACATTTTCTCAAAAACACTGTGTATTTTATATGAAAGGTGGAAATACTGTAAGATATATATATATATATAAGTCAAACAAGCAAGTTGAAAACACAAATTAATTAAACATTTTAGGAATACATTTTTCCAAAGAGGGAAGATATCTCTTTGCAATGAGAACTACAAAACATTCATGAAAGTAATTTGAAATATAGTATATGATATAAACTTCTTTCTATATTGCATTAGACATTATTTTATCAATTCCCTTCTGACAACTTTATTTCCCCATGACTTTGTGCTTTGCCTATGGTTTAATCTTGTCAATAGCATCAACAATTTTATTAGATCCTGCTGAGAGCATTATGTTAAAATTGATTATTCTAGCAAGTTATAACATAAAAAATTTCAATACAATCATAAGTCTATACACATTAGTACTTTTGTGTTAGTATTGCCAGTATATTATCATATTATATTTAAGAAAGATAAATAATAATGTATAAAAATAATGTATAAATGGTTGCAAATGTATGTAGGGAATATATATATGTATGTATATATATATATATATATATATATATATATATGAAAGCTTCTTTATGTACAAGAGTGGCTCTGTATCCAACAAAAATAACTTTCAATAGCAATAAATCTCAAGCTATTTTTATTTCTGAATTAAGTAATTGTCAATAAATATAAATCCAGTGAGACAGCCTAAAGGTCAACTGTCCATATACATACAAGGCAAGCACTGCTATCAGTAACATTACCTTGCATTGACATTATACATAAAATAATGCAAGCTGTCATGTCATGGTATAAATAGAAAGGGAAAAAAGTGACACAACATCAACTATGAATCAAGCTTACTTAACAAAATGTCTAAAAATACAATAATATATACTTTCCAAACATTGCTTTACACACTGCTATTGAAATAATTCTTTACCTAGCTTAGTGGGTCATATGAGATAATGACTACATTTTATTTAATACCCATATAATATTTTTTAAATTTCTGAGAAAATGGAATTTGCAGTTTGAAATGCAGGATTAAAGATAAAAATCACTTAGCTATTGACTTAAACAGTTGTGTTAATCTATGAGGGTCAGACATTAAAGTCACTTCTAACTACATAGAAAGAAGAGGTTAGGTTAAAATTTCTTGATGAGAAACTGGTTACACACATAGGTGTTCTCAGAAACCCGTGACTAAATCTAAATGCTTACTAGACCAAAAGTCATCCTAACACTCACCTTAAAGATAATAAACAAATTGCAATTGTTAATCAAGTAACATTACAAAAAATCTTATTATGCAGAAGCTTGTTTATAATGGTCTTACCAAAAGAACATAAATCTCTTTTTGTTTTTGGTAGGGGCATTCAACTCCCTCAAGTAAAACAATGGAGTCATGAGTGAAAGTGATGAGAATGGTGATGAAATTTACACCAAGTTACTAATAAAAAAAAAAGCAGAGAAGTCATCATCCAATCATAGAGACAGTAGTCCCAGTGTAGACACATCTTAACACACTCTCTGGCCCCCATACAAATATGCTCAGAAGATTTTCAGTTTCCTTGGGAGTGAACGGAAAACTTAATAAAATAACAAAACATGAAGCATTCCTTAACTCTTAATGTAGATTTAAAAATGCATTAAAATAATCTTTGGTCTCTTTGTCAAGGCCTAAAATCTGTAATATAACATTTATTTATTTATTTATTTTTATTGTGCCAATACCAGTAAACTCAGAGCTTCACACTTCTCCTTGGCTTTTCCCCTCAGAGTTGGCACTATTTGATTAACGCCATCTGTCAGCTCAACATTTATCTAAAAGCATAAAGTTAGGCTTTGTTTAATCAATGAACCACTTCTTCCTTACAGAATCTAGTAAATTTCTAAAATACAAATCATGATGAGATACAGTTACTTGCTCCCTACTGTCACCCCCACTTTCTTTTGTGGTTATATATTCAGTTAAAATATGTAGAGAAAAAAGATGCTGTGTAAATCCTCACTTTCAGCATTTGGAATGGCCATACAAGTTGCCATGCTGTATTTCTAAATAAATCTCTTCAAAAGCTCCTCAGTAGATGAATGGATCAAGAAAATGTGGTATATATACACAATGGAATTCTATGCCTCCATCAGAAAGAATGACACAGCCATATTTGTTAGGAAATGGAAAAATTTGGAAAAATAATATTAAGTGAAGTAAGCCAGACCCTAAGAACTATAGGTCCCTCATTTGCAATAATTAGTGTAAAAGCTAAAAAACTATGTACATGTGAGCATATAAGATGATATTAAGTGAAATGAACCCCAAGATATGGACACAGAAGACTTTCTTGTTGTTGTTATTTTTAATGTACTTGTAATATTTTTGTTCCTTTGAATGTTCTTCCCCCTATTGCATATCCCCTGTTGTCACTGTACTTGATTTTGGTACCCTGCATCTTGTATATACATTTGTCTAATTTGGCAAGGGGAAGGGGAATAACAAAATGCTGAGACAAGGACACAGGATGACCCATTGTAACAATGATACTCACAAGACACTATGCTGGAAGTAAACTTTACAATTTGGGGGCAGGGTGGTGTGTGAAGGAGGTGGGAGAGGAAAGGGATAGTAGGAGAAAAACAAAGGAGGGGGTATAAATACTACACAAGAAATGTACTCATTGCCTTACTTATGTAACTGCAATCTCTCTGTACAGCATCTTTACAACAAAATATTTTTTTAAAAAAAGGAGAAAGCACTAAGCCAAAAAATATTTACAAAAAAAATCATATCTAAAAGGTCCTAGTGATTCAATTTCCAACGTGGAAATAAGTAGAAGTGTTAGAAGCCTCACAGAATTTTTAGAGGGCATATATAGTCAATTGTAAATTAGATATGTAGGATTCTTAATTGCTAATTTTACTCCTATTCAAGTTCATTTTTCTTACTTCTGCATTATTTATCTACTTCATTTCAGTTGTAATTCAGCCTGATGTTTTAATGATTCTTCTATTTTACCTTCTTTTTAGATAATATCCCTACTATATTAAAAAGTATGTGACAATTTATCCAGTCTTGGATCTCAATTCTCAATTTCAGTGTTTTATTAATGTAAAAGATAGCAATTTTCCACTATGACAGCTACTTAAAATTACATGATTTCAACAAAGAGCTAAATAACTGAGCTTCCTAAATCCATTTTGAGTCTTTCATTAATTTATCTGTCTATCCTTCTAACCTTTCATTCATAGTTTTAGTAGCTTGTAAATCAATACTCACACATCACAAATAAGGAAGTTCTTATTCA